TTGACATCCTAACAACTTTGTAGCTGTCTGAAAAACTAATACACATAAATTGGAAGAAAAAAATAATATTTTTATTTCATTCTTAACCCCAATTACTTACTGATGGGATGCAAGTGCCTGTTGGGTTCTGTGTAACTTCTCAGGACTTGGAATCACCTTGGACACTGTCACTCTCATTTCGTGTTCCACATTGACTTTTGTATAGTTCTTTGTATTACAGTAACCATCAAAAGCCCAGTGATGCTGGGCACGGTAGCTCACGCCTGTAATTCAGCACTTTGGGAGGCCGAGATGGGTGGATCACCTGAGGTCGGGAGTTTGAGACCAGCCTGACCAACATAGGGAAACCCCGTCTCTTCTAAAAATAAAAATTAGCCGGACATGGTGGCACGTGCCTGTAATCCTAGCTACTTGGGAGGCGGAGGCAGGAGAATCGCTTGAACCTGGGAGGCAGAGGTAGCGGTGAGCCAAGATTGCACCATTGTATTCCAGCCTGGGCAAAAAGAGTGAGACTCCATCTCAAAAAAAAAAAAAAAAAGAGAGAGAAAGAAAAGATCATTAGCAGTGATGAACAAATCTAGCAGAATGAACCACACTCAGACAACTTGAGAATTTGGAAAGTAATGCTGCCAGGTAGAGCGCAGGGTGATGTTTTACCTGATACCATCACTGACCAGCATCACCATCCCACCCTACTGTGCCTTGGTGCCTTGGAAAGAAGGTCATGAAAATGAAACTATATCACTAAGTACAAGCAACACAGCTGTGGGACCATTCTCTAGGAACTGGACAACAGTACGATGAAGATGTCTCCCTTCCAGCCTGCCTTAAGCCATAGCAGTTTGGTGCCAGCCCCAAGAAGCTGCAGATGTGAAGGGTAGGTCAGCCCCACAGGGAACTGCCAAAGGAAATAGGCATTGGCTTGTGCAGGGAAAGAGATAAACAACAGACTTGGAGAGAGTGGCTCTGATTACATATGAGACACTCTCTCCAACACCCCATTCCCTGCATTGGAAACTCCTAGAGCTCTGACAAGAGAAGAGGGAGGGAGGAGCTGAGCTTTTCCTTCGTCTTGCTGGCTATAATAAGTAGGGGACAAGCTTCACTTCCTCAGGGAACTTTTCAAGCCATGTTATCCCCAAGATTCTGATACGCCTCCCTGGGAGGACATGCTTCTCCATCCTCCAAGCTGAAAATCACTAAAGCTGTGAGCCATCATTTGTTTTGAAGGTGTCACATTTTTACATTTGTTGAGGTATAAAACAGATTGAGAACCATTGTGTTTATGACCTGAGATCAATATATGAGTGGGATTGGGTGGGATTTAGGGCACATTTGGATTCCTCATTCATTTATTCAGCAAACAAGTATTGAGTGCCTCCTGTGGATAAGGCATTATTGTAGATGCTGTGGGCATTTAAAAGGCAATATATGAATTGGTGTTTAATGGGTATATACTTTCAGATTTGCAAGAGAAAGTTCTAGAGCCTGTTTCGCAACAATGTGAAAAAATATATGTGTGTGTGTGTGTGTGTGTGTGTGTGTGAACATTTTTTTTTTTTTTTTGAGACAGGGTCTCCCTATATGGCCCAGGCAGGTCTCAAACTCCTTGGCTCAAGGGATCCTCCGGCCTTGGCCTCCCAAAATGCTAGGATGACAGGCGTGAGCCACCACACCCAGCCAACAATGTGAATATAGTTATTATTGTACACTTAAAAATGGCTAGGATGGTACATAGCATGTTATGTGTTTTTTACTACAATTTTAAAGTGAAGATATGGCACCTGCCCTCCGTGGGCTTTCATTTAAACTGGAAAGAAACATCTATATAAGGCCAGTAATACATGTAAATACCAATCAGGGTGATTCCCAGTTCACAGCAATTGCCCTGCTTTGGTTACAGCCTCAGTGTCAGAAGTAAACCTGAATGTCCAATGTCCTTGCATGTTGACCCTGACCCCTGGCCACCTCCTTGGGGTACACAACTGATCTAAGCTATTCCAGTTTTTGAAACTTGGAGAAAGCAGAGATAATTCTGTTATAAAATGTTCTTAAGGGTTTTGTTTTGCAGAAATTTCTGTACCTCGCTTCCCAGATGGGGTTATGTTACATAGATTTTCCGGTAAAAGTATTAGGTTGGTGCAAAAGTGATTGCGGTTTTTGGCAATACAAGGCCTCTTTTCAAGGGGATTGCCGTGCCCATAAACTCCAGCTGCTGACACCCTCACAACTAGCTTTGTCCTTTCCAGTCCTGTTATTAACCTCCATCTCTAGGTATGAAAACTATAGCAGAATCTTTCCAATATCTCCCCCTATTTAGTGAAGCTAGCCACAATTATTTTCTGTCGGTTTCAACAAGATAATCTCAAAACCCAAACCAAAGTGTTCCTTTTGGTAAATAAAAATTGTCAATTGATGAGGACTTGCTGGTGATAGAGGAGGGGAAGTCGGAAGGAAAATAACATAGCTGGTTAATTTATAGGTTAACATAGCAAACTCTTGCCCCATAAGCAAGCACTTCAGCCTCAAGGAGCTTTTCGTTTCTTTATTAAAGGCATGGGGTTATTTTCCTACTGGAGGTTTTGGATATGGGGTTGTGTGTGTAGTCCAAGCTATGCAGGGTTCCTCCCGCCTTCTCCAGGTCGTTATTCATTTGCAAACATTGCTGGTCCGAGAAGAGGAAAGAGGAAGCTACCGGAGGCTGTGGCCTGCAGCAGAGGCTGCTTTTGTCTGGCAGCCTGAGCTGGGACTGGAGCCTAGGAGAGCCCCAATGAGGGAAAAGATGTGTATAAAGGAAGAGAGAAGAGAGCATCTTAGGAAACTCCCCCTCTGGGGATGATAGAGCTGAATCAAGATTCCTCCCCAATTCCTAGCAAACAGTTGTCCTTCATGCCTTTCGGGCACGCGCTGTGTACCTGCAGGTGGAAGGGTAGCTTCTCTGTTCACCCAACCGCCCATTTCTACCCAGCGCCGGCCACAGAACCACAATTAAGAGTTCAGCGAACGTTTCCTGGACTGTTAGGCGCAAGGGTGGAGAGAGGGAAAGGAGGAGGGCGACGCCGGAGAAAGAGCCAACAGCCTCAGAGGCAGCTGAAAAAATCCGGGCTTGGGATCCAGGAGGAGAGTCCTCGCGTGATTCCTCAAAAACCTCGCGGATTTCTGGGCAGGAAGTCAAAGTGCTGGCGCTAGGGAACTCGTGGGTTTCGAAATAGGAAAGGAGGGAGGGGGACTTGGTGGATTTAGCGACCCAGGATCGAGGTCAGCGAGAAAGCGGATCTGAGACGTAGCTTCCAAGCTCCGACCCGGAAGGTGAGGGAGACTCCCGGCCTGAGGCACTAAAGCCGTTGCTCGGGAAACGGGAAGGAGGCGGAGCCTAGCTTAACTGACTGACAGGGACCACAGCAGGGGCGGGACTCTGCTTCTGAACTGTCTGTTCCCAGAGGGGCGTGGCTTACCTTTGATCGCGAGGGCCCGGGGGCAGGGCTTGAAATGGACAAGCTTCACTGAGAGGAAATGGGGCTTGGCTCTGACTTGTAGGACACCAGACCCAGCAGGACTAGGCTAGAGTCTGTCATAGCCCCACAGTGCCAGAGCTGAAGCTGGCCCTGATTACTTGTCCTTAGGAAGCCTGTGTCATTGGTTCCGGTGATCCTGGAAAGGAGCAGGATATCCGTACTTGACCACCTCCCTATGGCCAGGCTAGACTTAGAACATGGGCAGGGAGAGAGGGAAGGTTGTGGTCTTTCCGGTCTTCATAATAGGCAGGATGGGGCTCTGGAGCAAATGAGGCCAGGCAAGGGGAAGAAGATGGGAGGGAAGGCCAAGGACACCAATGCGGGCTTCCAGAGAAGGTTCCTGGAGTCTGAGGTCTGGGAGGAAGACAGGAGGCCCACAGGAGAATGGGGCAGAGCACTTTCCAGTGAAAAAGGTGCTGCCCTTCAGCCCAAATGCTGACTTCTGAGGAAATTTCCAAGTATAAGGAGGCAGTTTGGAAGGTATAACTGGCTAAGGTTTGTCCCTAGAGAGTCTGTGATGTGCCCTATAGCTAACTCTTTTGACGTGTCTGAGAAACTGGTGTGGAATTAGGAAGGAAAGATGACAGAGAAGCCCACTAGTGCCCTGGCCAGTCTTTTCTCTGACATTGTTTAGTGTTATCTGTGGAGCACAGATAACTCTGTTACAAAATGTTCTTAAGGGTTTTGTTTTGCAGAGATTTCTGTACCTCACTCCCTAGATGGGGTTATGTTACATAGATTTTCCAGTAAAAGTATTAGGTTGGTGCAAAAGTGATTGCAGTTTTTGGCAATACAAGGCCTCTTTTCAAGGGGATTGCCAAAGGCCAAAAGTGTAACTGCAGAAAGAGCTTTAAGAGTTGACCAAGGATTCCAGTGGGCTTGGTGATTGACAGGACAGGATGAAATTAAAACTGGTTATCTAGGCCGGGCACGGTGGCTCACGCCTCCCAGCACTTTGGGAGGCCAAGGCAGGTGGATGGCTTGAGCCCAGGAATTGGAGACCAGCCTGGGCAACATGGCAAAAACCATCTCTATAAAAAAATACAGAAAATTAGCTGGGTTTGGTGGCACGTGCCTGTAGTCCCAACTACTTGGGAGGCTGAGGCAGGCGGATCAATTGAACTGGTGAGGTCGAGGCTGCAGTGAGCCGCTGATCCGTGCCACTGCACTCCAGCCTGGGCGATACAGTGCAACCTGTCTCAAGGAAAAAAGAAAGAAAGAAAGAAAAGAAAAAAAGAAAAAGGAAAAAGAAAAGAAAAAAAGAAGGTGAAAGCATCTACATTCCCTGTCTACCTTATACTACATACTTGGTGTGACCGTGGGAGGACTGATTTTCTAATCTCAGAGCTCCCTCTGCTGGGGGTTGAGGCTCCCTACACAAGGGGAGGAATGAGACAAGACCTGCATTCAGTGGGGAGAGACGGAAGGCTGCAGGCAGGGGACTCTTTCTGGGCCCTCAGAACATGGAATCAAGTGAAGACCAAGAAGTAGACAAGTTTGCAGTTTATTAAGTAATGGCTGACTTCATAGATGTTATCACTGGGGGCGGCTGATGGGGGGAACTGCATCAGTTCTCACTCTCAGAGTTCCCCTTTTGGGAACAAATGCTCTCAGAGGTTCCCACTGAAGCCCTTTTATCTGCCCTGCCCCACCTACCACTGAAGCCAGAGGTCATGGGAGTTGGGATCTAACTACACTTGGGGATGGAATGCCACCACTCATTCCATCCCCAAGCCCATATTTTATTTGGACTAGCCATTGATGCCCGGGCCCTTCCTCTTCCAGGGGGTGGGAGGGTGGAGGTAGGGACAGGACCAACCCTCAAGAAAGAAAAGAGGTTAAGGTGGGGGTTTTGCTGAATGTCTAAGAAATGTCAGTGGAACAGGCTGGGTGCGGTGGCTCGTGCCTGTAATCCCAGCACTTTGGGAGGCCAAGGCAGGTGGATCACCTGAGGTCAGGAGTTTGAGACTAGCCTGACCAACATGGTGAAACCCTGTCTCTGCTAAAAATACAAAACTAGCCAGATGTGGTGGCACGCACCTGTAATCCCTGCTACTTGGGAGACTGAGGCAGGAGAATCACTTGAACCCAGGAGGCGGGGCTTGCAGTGAGCCAAGATCATACCATTGCACTCCAGCCTGGGCAAAATAGTGAACCTCCGTCCAAAAAAAAAAAAGTCAATGGAACACAAAATTCCCTGTCTTAATATTGTACATTTGGGGCCTAGCTGCCCTTGAGGATGTCCTAGTTACACCCTCTCTGATACCTGTGGAGTTTAAGCACCATTCCTACAGCTGTGTCCCTTGGGAGGGGGTGCACTGGGAGCTCTTAAAGGGGAATGCTTGCTCTGCCTCTGTGGCTTTTTGTTTGGGAAAAGGAGTTGGGATTGTAGGATTTAGATTTGAGGTCATGATGTCAGAGCACACCAGGAACTCCTAAGACTGTGCCTGAAGATGCCCACACTGCCGAGTAGGGTGCTGGGGGAGACAGCGAGGGCAGTACAGGACACAGGCACTCCTTCGTCTGGTAGAGAGGAGGAGGTGAAACAGAGCTATTCCAGAATACAGGGGATGGCAGTGAGGGATGCATAAGTCCCCTGCCTCCCTTGTCCAAACATGTTCTCCTCTGCCAGCCCAGTCAGCCTGGGGAGCTAGATATTAGAAACCTGAAGGATTCAGCCCACTTTGGCCTACTAGTGTCTATAAGTCTCTGTCCTGAGATCCTGGGGCTCCTCCTGTGTCTAGAAGGGATGAGGTGCCATCAAATATAACTTGGCTGGTATAACAGTTTAGAGAAGGAAGTCCCACCTGTAGTCTGGCTGGCAGGCAGGTAGACATGAGGCTGAGAAGGGAAGCCAGATGTCAGAACATACTAGGCTAGCATGCCTGCTCCTAGCTTTCAGGACCCAATGTACAAATGCACATATGTATCATGTATGTATATGCGTGGACACTCAAGCACAGGAGGGAGGGGTTATGCGTTCTGCTCTTTGAAACCAGAGAGGGGAGGAAAAGCCTTATGGTGGTACCTCCCCCACCCTAATAGGTTGCTACCCTCAATGGCCATCTGCCCACCAAGGCCCCTACCCAGTGCTAGGCAGATAGGCAAGTGGCAGGGGGGACATGGCTCCACTAAAGCAGCAGCCCAAGGAAGTGAGGGAGGGGACAGAGGATGACCCTCCTCAAAGCCCCTTGTTGTAGTAGACCACTTCTACGCTGGGGTTTTGCTCATGGATCTGAGCTCTCAGCTCTGGTTCCAGCTTGCTTACGTTTATGGAGCTGCAATAGAACAGCACAGGCCGGTTAATGTCCCCCGAATCCAACCCCACTCAGGCCCAGGGATTGCCGTCCCACCTCCTCCCAGGCTGAAGAATCCTCTCCTTCTACTGCCAGAAGGACTGGCTTACTGTCATTCCCCCACTCCCAGAATCCGTGGAGTGCCTGCCAGGCCTCCTCCTGAACACACTGGAGGACCCTAGGTCAGCTGGCCCAGAGATGCAGAGTCCAATCCAGAGTCCCCTGCCCAGCCCAGGGACAGCACTTACCTCTTCTGGGGGAATAGGGCACAGCACAGGGGGGTCGCAAATACCAGGCTGGGGGAGACGAGTGTTGGAAAGATTTGTAAAGCTTTGACCTTAGGGTGTTCCCTCCCTACACCCCACTCCATCCTTGGAGATAGCTCCTAAGGGTGGAGATTGATAAAAGCTGAAAGGACCTTTTAGGAATAGTAAACCCAACCTGGACATCTGATTCTGAGGAAAGAGAGCCCCACAGCCAGTAAGTGGCAGAATCAGGAATTAAATGGGCATGAATCTCCTGGATGGCACCAAAAGGTACATTTCCATGGTTTCCTCTTATAGATGAAGACTGGAACCCCCTCACTAAACTCTTGACCTTCAAGGACAGGGACCGCCCCCAACACACAAAGTAGACCCTATAGGTGTTCAAAGCACACACCCACTGAATGTATGAATGGATGTCTATAAACATCTTAAAGACAATTCATACCTACCCACATCCACCATGGACAAAGCACTCCCACACACCCCAGCTAATTCATTGCATACTTACCAGAAGCCCACCAGTCCCACCTGCAGGGGCGCACCCAGCCAAGGGCGGCGCTGTGGAGAGACAGAGAGACAATGGAATGGCTTGTGTCCCCTGCCTCACTGTCACCCCATTTTATCCACCATGGCTCTATCCCATCAGCCTTGCCTTGGAGCCCTTAGACCTGTGGCCCTTTTCTTTCTCCCAAAGCAATGACAGGGCTGGGACCTCTAGATTGCACCCTTCCACTCCAGCCGGACCTATATGCTGATTACCCTCCCTGGCATCCCATGACACATTCTCACCTCTCAGAACTGGTTGCCATGGCACTCCCTGGCCCTTTTTTTCTTCCCTCACTTCCTCCAGGAGCTGATTTCTTCAGGAAACTTCCTCTGAACTTCCACTTACCTCTTCCCATCCCAGTGGCATGACTCTTTCCAAGCACGTCTCTTCCTCGGCTCTCTTCTCAATTTGCTGTGGCCATAGGGACCACCAACCTGTTCCTCAAATGTGCAAGCCCCTCCTGCTGCAGTGCCCTTGCTACTGACTATTTTCTCTACCCCAAACATTCTTCTCTGCATTCTTTGCCTCTCTCCTCATCCTTCGGGGCTTTAGAGACCCCTTCTCTGACCATCCTGTCTAAACAGCTCTCCCCCATGAATCTCAATTACACTGTCCCACTGCTTTCCTACAAAGCACATATTACACTTTCTAAGAATGTATTTATTGGGTGCCTCCTTGTTTATTGGTTTCTGCATCAGACTATAAACTTCAGGAGGACAGGGGCCATAACCATCTTGTTCAGTGCTGTCTCCTCAGCCCTAAAACATCCCTGGTGCGTGGCACTCAATACATTTGTGAATAAATTATTCTGTGAATGAGCCAGAGCTTGTTCGTGTGATTTGCTTTCGTGTCCTGTTCATGTCTGTGTGTGTGTGTGTGTGTGTGTGCACCCGTGTGTACCTCTTAGTATGGAGGCACTAGGGAGTGAAAGAATGAGCATAAGATCAAGTGTGACTATGACAGTCCCCTCCTTTGTGTATCAGAAGCCCCTGGAGTAACACTGATGAAGTTGGTTTCCTTCCCTCGTCCTCTTCTCCTGCCCCCGCAGTGTTCCTTCACCCCAGCCCAGTTCATTCTTGCTGAATGAATGAAGGTGGAGGAGGTGATGCAGGGGTCAGGAGAACGGCTGGCAAGTCTTAGAGACTCAGACCAGGCTGGAGAGAGGGTTGGGGCCTGGTCACTTCTTTTCCCAGCCATCCCCTATTCCGGGACAGGAGAGGTAGAGTTGCCTACCTTCAGGAAGTCTTTCTTCTCCAGAGTGTCCATGATCAGTGGGGGTATGGCTATGGGGAGAGCAGGGCCAAGAAGGAGAGCGTTAGTAGTGGAGTCAAAGTCAGGAACTGTGAAGGGTGACCCCCCTCAAAGCTCCTCCCTCTCTCCCTAGAGCCCTCCAAAGTCCCTGAGAACTGCGCCTGCTTCTCTCAGAGTCTCCTGTGCCCCACCCAGCCACTCCCGCCTTACCCATGGCAGGAATCGCCATGCAGATTCTTGAAATCACCACCTGGAAGATTCCCTGCTTGGCTGCGGTCACCGAGTAGCCAAGCCTCTGACCTGCCTCGTCAGCCACCGGGATGCCCACCTGCAGCTCTCTGCGAAGGGAGTAGGGTTAGGGTCAGATCACAGGCCCTGGATCCCGCCTGCAATGCCTGAATGGGCAGCGGCTCCTCAGGGTTCCCTCACACACCCCAGACTCAAAGGCTGGTTCTCCCACCTGAGGATCCCAGGGTCAGACTGAGCCAGGGCCCAGCAGCTCATGTCTGAGGAGGGAGAAGGATGTCCCCATTCTGAGGTGGTCTGCATGACTGGACACTGTGCTACATTATACCGGGCATGCACGTGCCAGGAGCTGGGGTCACTCACCTCTGTCTCATCAGGGGGATGTTGATGCAGTTGGCAGCTGCCACCGCTGCAAAGGGCACAAATCTGCCGACCAAGGGGGACAGGTGCTGCGGAGGAAGGGTGTTGTTCAGTGGCCCTGAGGGCCATGGGGTGGTGAGGGACTCTGGGGAGATATAGGGGGCCTATAGGTCAGGACTGGAGGCATGATGAGGAAGGAGGAGGCAGATAGAGGATGAATGGGGGGTCAGGGGAGTAGGGGGCCTTTACCTTGGTGAGGGATTTGAGTCCCAGGGCCGTGGCCACAGCTCCAGTGGTGGCACTCACATAGGCTGTCCCCAACTGCCTGTGGGTGGAAGAGCCAGGTCACGGGGAGAGGTGAAGAGTCCAGCAGGTGGCCCTTTCCTTTAGGGATATGCCAAGTCCTCAATACATGAGGCGTAAAAGGGGAAGCTCCTTGCAGAGGAAGCCCTCCCTCCATCTCCAGCATAAACTTGTCTGGAAGCCCCAATCACACCCTGTGAAGAGGGGTGGGTCCGCCACAGCATGCATAAGAGGACCTCATGCTTTCAGTTAGGCAGGGTAAGTCGGGGTGGGGCAGGCTGAGGAGAGAGCGCTGAGCACTGGCTGCAGGGACTGCAGGGAGCGGGAGAGAAAGGAGAGGGCACTGTGGGCTGGGGGAAGAGGGTCAGATGGGACAGTGCAGCTGCTGCAGGGGGCCAGCTCTCACCTCACGGTGATGGGAGTGTCGCCACTGCGGTTGGAGTAGTTAACAATGGCATTGAAGGACTGATTCACCCACTGCCAGAACACCACAGTTGGGGTCTTCCTGAGGGAACAAAGACACTCACTTCTGACCCCCGTACAGTGGCCCTCATCTTTAGACCCCTGTAAAGAAACCCAATTTTTCCCCAAGCCTAAGAAGGGACCCAGTTGATGGCCCTAGAACCTGCTCTGGTAACCCCTATGTACCCCCACCCCCATTTATACAAACACACCTACTGTCTCTGGGGTGAGAGAACTGCTGAGGCTGAATTCTGAGGAATGGAAGGGATTCTAACACAATCTTTCACTCACCAAATTGGCCCAGACAAGAAGCACCTAGTCAAGCCGTGCTCTAGCTTAGGGCACTCAAGAAGGGGACATGGGACAAGACCTGCCTGTAGAAGGTGAGCATGCAGCCGGTGATGGTCATGTTCATGGGCACCTGGGCTGACATGCGGCCAATCAGGACCACCTTCTCCCCTGTGTCCGGATGGAAGGCAGAGTCATACACATACTTGGCTCTCCACAGCTGGTCCTCGGTGATCCCTGGGGTCACAACGCCAGCCCTGCAGAAGTTGGCAAGGAGCAGACAAGCTATGCCAGGGGGCAGATCTACCCTCACAGGCCCCATCTGCCCAGCTCAGGGTAACTCTGGACAGAGAACCAGGAACTTCAGCCTCTAGTCTCAGCATAAGGGAGCTCCTTGTCTTTGGAGGAGGGCCAAAGTTTCCCAGAAGTGGAGGCTCCTATTTCTATTTCCCTTCTAGCCACACGAAGAGGGGTATCCTTCTGTTTCTGCTAAAATGCTGGGTCATGGGTGATGGTGGTTTCCAGTGGGTCAAAAATGGCTGCGAGCATTGCAAGAGTTTTTCCTCCCAAAGATAAGGGGAATTCCCTTCTATCTTCCTGGGACTCCACTTTGAGCACCTCTATCCTTGCAGATGGTGACCCAGCGATGGGATAGGTCCCTGTAGAGGTTTGTGAAACATAGAGCAGCCCTTCCCATAAATATCAGTGCCATCTTCTCAACCCAAATGCTCTAAAATCCTTTGGGTTAAAGCTCTGGCCAACAGAGGGGGCTAGAGAGTGAGGGGATTGAGGGACAGGGTCACTGTCAAGCTTGAGGAGGCAGGTACAAGACATACTATATTAATCCCAGAAAATGAGATCCTGGCACACAGGGTCAGACTGGGGGGTGGTCACCTGTAGTTCTGCACGATGTTCCGAGAAGTTTCCAGCTGTGCCGCGGACAGCAGCAGATTTCGAGGATCAGTAACAGTGAAAAAGTGCCGGGCTCTGCCCAGGAAAGTACTTTGGTCCCAGCGAGGTTCCTGGATGTTGATGTCTAAAGGCAATTCACCCATTTTCTGCAGGACAGACACAAGGGTCAGAGCGGGAGTCCAAGGGTCCAAGGGCTCCAGCTAGGGGAAATTTTGGTGCCCCTGCCCTGGCCTCTGAGCTTATCATCAGTCCCTTTAAGAGCTCAAGGTGACTAGAAAGGTAAGCAAGGGTGTGGGAAGGAGCTGTTTCCTCAGCAATGTCCCCGCCCAGGGACCTGCAGCCACTGGAGGAAGGGGAGGGGAAGACCAGAAACAGGAAAACAGATCTCCTTGTGCTCTATCCTGGTACAGATTTTCATGAGGGAGGATTTACATGTATGTGGTTGACACATGAGCAGCAACAAACATCTCAGCCACGTGTACTGCAGACACACAAGAACATATAACATATATATTACACACCCATGCTCAGGTGAGCTTTAGGTCCCAGCTGCCCTGAGACCTGGATACAAATCCCCAAGGCTATTTTGGAAAATGGCATAAGACATCCCACACTCCAGTCCCTGATTGGAGGAGAGCAAGGCCTTACTGGCCACCCAGGGCTTATCTGTTTCAGATCTCAATCAGGGAACTCTGATGTCAGCCATGTGTGTGCATGTGGGCACACACAAGTCCCCTCTACAGATCCATTTTCTCCAACTCACACTGAATGACTCCAGGCTCTCCCTGGTCCCTGGCCTGGTAGGGCTGGCACAGACACTCATCCACCTCTCTGAGCCACTTGCCTCCGGATAAGAGCAGGATTCAGTGGCTGCTCCCTCAGAGAGGAAAACCTGGTGCAGCCATCTGGCTGAGTTGGGCAGAATCCTACAGAATGACTAATCCTCTCCAGCCACACTTCCTTCCGCAGAGGCAGACATGCCCTCCCCTCACACTCACATACCCACACACAAAGACACCATCATGCACACCCTGCCCAGACATACAGACAGAGTGGAGGTGTCCTGTAACACTGGCCTTCAAAGACTGTTACAGGTGCACATTGTGCCCATCTGCAGACACTTGAATGTGTGACTACACACAGCCCCACCCTGACATTCCTCCCTGCAACCTCCCTTGTGCCCTGTGGACCTCCATAGAGCCAAAAATACTGATTGCACCAGGACAGACAGTTTCAAGGCAGGCTTCCTTCTCTGACCCGCATTCCTGAACCCCGCCAGCTAGGGACAGCGAGCACTTACGCTTTCCAGGGCTCCCTGAAGCTCTCAGAACCGCCTTCTTCTCTGCCTCCGCTGTCGCCGCCGGGCCCTCCCAGCCATCACGCGGGACGTCACGCGTGACGCCGACCAGCAGGGAGGGGCGGGAACTTCCCGGCCGCGCCCACCCAGTGGGCACGGGGATTGGCAGAACCTAGGGGAGGTGGGTGTCATTCGAGGCGATCCCCCCCACCCCGGCCTGGGCCACCGGGACCAGGCCCTAAGCTGCTTCCCAGAGCCAATCCCACCTCGGGGATCAGTTCTGGTCCCCTCCCCAGCCAGAGGGAGGAGGGGCTGGAGCTGAGGGGGCTGCTCCCTTTGTTTACAGTCCCCTGGCGGGCCTCAGCAGACCCCCAGCCCTGCAGCAAGAGGTCTAGGTGCCCAGAGAGAAAGCCCAGGGTGCAGGTGGACAGTGTGGAGGGGCGGTCCTCTGCTGGCGCGCCGGGAGGGACTCGGGTTACCACCTGGCTTGTTTACTTGATGGCTCCCTTGGCAATGGCCTCTGGCTGCTTGCCCCCCTGGGCTCCTACCCTAGTATCCACAAGCTCCTCTTGTAGCAGCGTGGCATTCGCATCACTTCACAGTCCCGTTCCTGTCGTGCCTGTGCCCCTTCTATGTCCCCAGCCCTCTCCCTGCTCTTCCTCTGTAACCCCTAGCTCCCCTGTGTCCCTGGTCTCCTTACACTCCCAACCCGTCTCCCTGCACCCCAGACTGTAGCCCCACCCCTGGGATGTGGAGGGGCAGACGACCCCAGCAATCTCACGGTCTGCATCCGAATAAGTGCATCAGAAGGATTCTTAGGATTCTTCCCGTCCAGGGACCAGCTGCCCCACCCTGCGACCATTCCAGAACTGGGTAGCCAGAGACACCTTCTGACTGAGGAGGAGGATGCAAGTGAAGAAGGCACCCCTTCCGCCACACACATACTCATAACTCACCCAGTCACCACACAGAGAACGCCTGCAGCAAACGCAGGCTCACGTCCCGCTCTGCCCGGTGACGTCCCCCCACGGAGGCCTCAAGGGTGCCCACGGAGGGGTGGCAATTCCAGGAGCCCAGGTAGCTGTCTTGGCTCAGAGAAGAGGTGCTTCTAGCGGGAGGGGAACAAGCCGAGACCCAAGTCCTAAATTTGCGGGATGAACTAGGGCGTCAGAACCAGAACTGGGGTGGGTAAAGAACTCCGCTGCCCGGGACCAGGTAACACCAGTGTGTCCCTGGAGCGCAAGGGAGGTGTCGGAATAGAATGACTGACGGCCCTACCAGCCAATGGGAGCCCAGGGCGGTGCAGGCCAGCCCAATTCCCGCAGCCTCCGCGGAGCATGGGTGGGGTTTGCAGACTGCCACAGTAGCTCTCGCGGGAGGGTGGTTTGACAAGGCTGGCGGCGCCACAGCAGCGACCAGGTGAGGGGGACCGGGCACAAAGGGGTGGGGGGCCTGGAGGGCCGAGTTGATATTGGGGTGCTTCATTCTGGGTTCCAGAGCTTCTCTGAGGGAATTGGCCTTGGGTTTTGCGCGGGATGTCGTGGGACCCCTCTCCAGCGGATCCTCCCCGCAAGCTTGGGAGAGGTTCGTGCAGACTCTTTAGACCCGGAGCCGCAGCCTGGAGTCCGCGGGTGTCTGGGGGGCTTCCTCGGCCTCAGCTGTCTAAGGTCCTGAAGCCCCGTCCTCGAGGCCCAGCACACCCTACGCCGCCCCCACCCTATCCCGGACCACCCCCATACCCGCATATGCAGGAGAGAGGTGATGCCATGAGCTGTCTCTACCTCTCTTTTGTCTCACACCGCTCTAAGCCCCAGCGCCCTTAGTAATCCCAACTCCACTCTCAACCTCTATTGAGGACTGAGGACGGGAGTAGATGACTCAGCCGCCAGCAGCAATGAGGGGTGAAAGGTTCCCACCTGTCTTGTATAAAGTCAGCGAGAGTCCACGATGGTGCCTGGATGGGGCAGTTCTCTGGTCTGGGGTGAGACAGGAGGGGGGCCTAAGGCATGGGAGGGCAGGATGCTTAAACCATCAGGGAGCAGCAGGGGGAACATTTATACCCCTCCCTCATCCCTGCTCTCCCTGCCCAGGCCTGGAGCTCACACTGCTGAGAGGCATCGCAAACAAGGGCCTTCACGTTACTAAGACCCCAATCCCGCGGAGAGGCTCATGGAGCTGGAAGCACGCGGGGCTGGCCTCTCCAGAGCTAGCAGATTCCTTCTGGACCTGTAGGGTGCTGCTCTAGCCCAGCCGCCATGGCGCAGGGTTTCGCAGTGGGCTTAGACCCCCTGGGCCTAGGAGACCTAAGCTCCGGCTCTCTGAGCTCCCTCTCCTCCCGAGGCCACCTAGGCAGCGACTCAGGCTCCACCGCAACGCGATACCTGCTAAGGAAGCAGCAACGGCTGCTGAACGGGCCCCCCCGCGGAATCCGAGCCTCATCGCCCATGGGACGCGTCATCCTCATCAACTCACCCATCGAAGGTGGGGGTGGGACCCAGCCACCGGCCTGGGTTGGGGAGGGTGGGGGTAGGGGACAGTGGGAACTCAGCAGGAGGAGGCAGAGCCTGTATGAGAGGGGGAATTCAAGAGATGGGAGTCACAGGGAGGTGGCAGGCAGCCTGGGAACCCATACACTCTTCCTCACCTGCTTCTTCTCCAGGCCAATCCTGCAGGGGTCCAGGGTGGTAGAAGGGTCAGAGGAGGGAGAGAAGGCCATGGCAGCAGGGAAAGGCATGCGTGTGGTATGCTAGCCCCAGGTGGACAAGGCAGGGGATTGAACTGGCCTCTTTCTCCCATGGGCTCTGCCCTTCTCCAGATCCATTGTGTGTACTTCTGGGGGATGGAGCAGGATAAAGGAGGACATCCTCCATCAACCAGTACATTGTGTGACAAGCTCTGTGCTGGGCTTCGAGGAGTCAGTGCCCAAGTGGGTAGACAGAATTCAGGGCTTCAGTGCCGAAGGAGGGGAATGAAGGCAGCACAGCAAATGTTCAGAAGAGGAGGGTTGAGGGTGGAGAGGGAGCTCCATCAGGGAAGGGGAGACCTAAGCTTATGTAGTTGCTTAATGCCGCTTCATGGAGCACCAATTCTATACCAGCCCTGAGGAGGTGTTACAAGGGACCTAGAGAGAAATCAGGCTCCCTCTTCACCTTCCAGAAATCTACAGTGTAGCAGGACAGAGCAACAAGAACAGCTGGTGGCAGGGGTGAGCTATCACCAACAAAGGCTGGAAATGAAAAGCATGGAGCATGGTGGGTGGGCACCTAGGAGCCAGCCTGGCTGCAGTGACAGATGTGAGGCGACTAAGAGCTGGTGAGCAAGACAGGACCTTGAATGCCAGGGGCGGAGCCAGGCCCCCTGAGTGTGGGCTTTCTGTGGGCAGGACCAGATAAATATCTCCAGCTCCTCTCCTCTTTCTTAGCCAGCAGAGCTGCTCTGGCTGGATCCCAGACTGGACTCTTCAGGCCCTGTTCCTCCCGCTCTGACCCAGCGGGGCATCTCTGTTCTCCTCCCTAGGCCACCGGAACAGGGGTGGGCATGTTGCTCAGGGAGGAGGCTTTCCTCCACCAGTGGCTTGGCACGCTCACCCCTGTCATACACCAGTCTATGCCTCACCCTCTGGTGAGCAACAGGGCACTGCTGAGGGTCACCGCGGTCATTCTGTTCAGGGAGCAGAAGTCTCCAGGGGAGTTAAGAGACATTGGGGAAAAGGGAAGCAGGCACCACAGCAGTCTTTGTTAGTCCCATTCTATGAAAAGAACTATGCTATACTCCCTCCAATACTCTCTCTCTCTCTCTCTCTCCCTCTCCCCGCTTTCCTTTGCCCATGTATGATGCAAGGGCTGTTTATACTGTCCTTTTTTTTTTTTTTTTTTTTTTTTTTTTTAGAGGGAAAAGGTCTTGCTCTGTTGCCCGCCCAAACTGAAGTGCAGTGCAGTGGTGTGATCATAGCTCACTGCAGCCTTGAACTTCTGGGCTCAAGTGATCCTCCAGCCTCAGCCTCCTGAGAAGCCAGAACTATAGGCATGCAACACCAAGCCTGGCTAGTTTTATTTTATTTTACTTTTTGTAGAGACAGAGTTTCACCATGTTGCCCAGGCTGGTCTTGAACTCCTAGGCTCAAGTGATCTTCTGACCTCAGCCTCCCAAAGTGCTGGGATTATAGGCCTGAGCCACTGTGCCTGGCCTATACCATCCCTCTAAAGATCCTCTTCCAGGGTTTCATGATTGCTTTCTCCCTCTGCCTCATGCAAGTGCCACTGTGCAGCCAAGGAAGCAGGATCTCCTAGCAAGTGAGGGACTGGGGAGTTGCTCTGACCACTTGGCTTCTCCTCTGACTGGGCTGGGACCCTCTGAGTTCAGAATTCTCCCCTCTGCCTGAGCGCAGACATCTCCCAAGTCCCCGCAGCCTGGAATCCTGCCCCATATTATTATGTAGATCACTCCCCGGGAGTAAAGTAGCTGATAAGGAATAAACAGTGGGAAGAGGGACATTGCCACCTACATCAGCCCCATGAGACCCCACCAGCTCCTTAAACTCAACTGGTCCCAGAGAAAATGCATTACCTTTAATCCAGGAAAGCATAACCCTTAATGCATATTCTCCTCACTCTCCTAGTTTGTCCATCCATTCATCCATTTACTCTTTCACTTATTCAAAAAAAATACTTATCAAATACCAAGTGCTGTCCAACATATTGGAGATATACTACAAGAGAATTACAAAGTCCCCACCATGATTGAGCTTACAGTCCAGTCAAAAGAGACAGATAAATAAGACAAATAAGCAAACAATGGCAAAGGATGAGAAGAGTCAGAAGGTGATCATCTGATGATATGAGAGAATGGTGCTTCTCAAACCTCAGATGCCTCAGAATTGTCGAGAAGGCTCATTCAGGGATAGATTGCAGGGCTCAGTCCCAGAGCTTCTGGTCCAGTGGGTCTGTGGTAAAGCGAAAGAATTCCTGTTTTTAGCAAGTTGTCAGATGACACTGATGCTGCTGATACAGCACAACGCTTTGAGAAGCCCTACAAGAGGGAATCACTGGGAGGAGGGGTAGGATATTCCAGGAAGCCTTCTCCGAGAAAGTGGTGTCTGACCCAGGAGGGAAATGAGGAAGAGGAGCTGACCTTCTAAAGGCCTGGGCAGGAGCACTGCAGGCAGTGGGGACACTGGAAGGGCTTGACCTCCACGAGGAACAGGAAGATCAGGGTGGCCAGAGCTCAGTGAGGGAGGGAGGGTGGAAGGGAGGGCAGAGGGGTGGGCAGAGGGAAGCCCAGGCAGGGCCTTATAAGGCATGGTGAGGAGACTGGAGTTCTAGAAGCAGGAACAGGTGCCGAAGTTTTTAATTAGGGAGAAGACATGATCCAATGTAAAAGCTGACTCTGGGTACTGTATAAAGAATAGCTAAAGGGGGCAAGAGCAGAAGCAAGGATAGTGCCAGGACTGCAGTGGAGCACCTGGAGGAGAGGCTGGGGCAGTGGAGGTAGAGAAGTTTCCATCCTTGCAGGGCCCAGGCTCCTGGAAAACCTCAGATTTCACATTCCCTGACCCAGGGCCCTAGGGAGGCCCCAGTGAGGCCCTGAGGAGAGAGGGTTGGGAGCAAGGGAGCAAAAGGCTCCTTGGCTAAGGCTGTAAGTGGCCTGAGATCTGTGTAATCTAATCAGCTGGGAAAGCCCTGGTCCCCCACATCTGTCCTGCACCACCCCTCCCCACAAGCTGCCCTTGGGGATTTCTTTCCGAGCTGCCCTGGCTGTGCCCTGTAACCTGACTTCTCTTAGATCAAACTGAAGAGTGTGTGTGCGTGTGTGTGTCTGTGTGTGTGTGATTTCTCCCTGTCAAACACCTCTAGAGTAACCCTTACCCACGAAGAAATCTCAGCTTCTCACCTGGGACCCAACTTACCCCTCCAGCCTTCTTGCTTTTCTGTAACTGGAAGGCCTCCTAAGGGCCCACAGCTGAGCATCCCTGGCTCCTTCCCCCTCATCAGTGCCACTCCCTTTCCCCTTACCCATCAAAATCCCACCCATCAGAGTCCTTACAGAAACCTTACCTGCCCCGGGTGCTCATGCCTGTAATCCCAGCACTTTGGGAGGCCGAGGCAGGCAGATCACTTGAGGTTAGGGGTTCAAGACCAGCCTGGCCAACATGGTGAAACCCCATCTCTACTAAAAATACAAAATTTAGCCCGGCGTAGTGGCACATGCCAGTAATACCAGCTACTGGGGAGGCTGAGGCAGCAGAATCACTTGAACCCAGGAGGCGGAGGTTGCAGTGAGCC